TTTCTGTAGCCGCTGGTGGAACGCCGCGCTGCTCCGCGTTCGAAATCCAAATGCGGCGGCGGGAAGGGGCGGGAGGTGGTCCCGCCCTGACGTCACGCCCGCGAACCCTCCCTTTCTGCGGGGAGGGGGGTGTGTGTCCAGAACGCCTGGGAGGTGCGCATGCGTTCTGCGTTGCTCACTCATGTTTGCTTGCAGGTGAACACGGTGGAAGGGGAGGTCCGCGAGGAGGTGAGTGCGGGGCCCGGGGGTGGGGGTCCCGACTCTGCTCCCCTCTTACGCACTCATAGGGAAGGGAGGGATCTCTAGCCTCATCCAGCTCAGCATGCTCCTGCTCATCACTTAAATTGGGGTTTAAGCCCTGGCCTGAAAGGGTGCAGGCAGCCCCTGCTGCAAGGCTAGCTGCCCAAGGAGCCTTGAAGGCAGGTAAAGCTGGGGGAGCTTGGGCTGTTAGTGTCCTGCTGCTGCCACTCGCTGTAGAGGAAGGCAGTGCCAATCTGGCCAGGCAGTAAAGTTTGTTCCTGACACCCTATGGGATTATTGGCATAATCCTTGGGCAGGGAGAGGAGCCAAGCCTGTCTAACTAGAAACCTCTTGTGTTTCAGTCCCAGCGGGAGCACTGGCATGCTCCAGTCAAAACCTCCCCAGCCTTGGCTGCAGCCAGTGTCAAGGCTTTTGAGGAAAGCCAAAAACAAACAAACAAACAAAAAGTGCTGTCACCTGTAGCAGCAGGCAAGGGGTGATGGAGGTTTTCATTCTCAACCCCACTTGGCAACCACAAAACTCCAGAAACAGGGGGGAAAAAAGCATCCTCCGTTGTGTTTTGTAGACTGGGGATGGCTAGCATAATTCCAGACATCATAGCTTCTAGCTAGCTAGCCAGCACTCCTCTTTCTGGATCTTTTCCATAAATTTAACGATTAAAGTTGCTCGTATAACTAAGCTGGTTGTGGAGCTCTGCCTCATGCTTTTGCTGAGCACAGTCCTCCAATATTCACCTGCTCTAGGCAGCAGAGCTCTTCACATTCTCCCCATGATCTGGTGGGAGAGGGACTGGGTCCTGGGCTCCCTGCTGTTGCTTTTCTCAATGTGCTCCAGGTATAGCTGCGCTTAGGTCATCCCTGGCTAGCACTTATCCATTGGCCTTTTTTTGAAAACATCCAGTGATGGAAGTTCACAATCTGTATGTCTCTTCCTCTCCAGCCCAAGAGGCGATCTGCCCGCTTGTCTGCTGTAAGTATAGGCCCAGCTCTTTTTTCCCTCCCCAGTAGCTGTGTGATGGGTAACACGTTTCTAACGACCATTGGTTTCTTTCCAGAAACCTGCCCCTGCCAAAGAGGAGCCAAAGCCAAAAAAGCCAGCAGCAAAGGTGAGCAAGTGATGTGAGTGCGCATGGCCCAGGCCAACCCTACTGGGGTGTGCCAGACACCTGAATCTGCCGTTCCCAGATTTATGTTAGTCAGAAGATGGGGCCGGAAGGTAACTTGGGGTATACATACACACAACTGAACTGTTCCCAAATGTCACTGATTGGGAGCCAGCTTGCAGTGGGTGGTTGGGAGGGAGCACTTACACCTATGCCTTGCTGGGGATCCCAGGAGGTAGGTGACCACTGCACTTGTCTGACTTGGCTTGGCAGTGCTTGGACCCATGATTTTAGGTGTCCAGTGATCAGAGTGGGGCACTGACTTGGCTGGGGAGTGCTTGGACCCATGATTTTAGGTGTCCAGTGATCAGAGTGGGGCACATGATGGTTGACTAGGGAGTGAGGCCACAGCTAGTTGTTGGAAAGGTAGTGCTTATTGATTAAGTAGCAAGGGAAACCATGGATAAAAAGTGCCAACAAAAGGGATGGGGGTGGGAGTGTAGAGATCAGGCATTTTACCAGAGTGACCTGTTGTAGCAATGGGGGACAGGGATGAGGAGTGATGCAGTGTGGGATGCTTGGGGGATCAACCAGACCTCTGTTACAAAATGCTTGGTGTCCACACATAACCGAACTGGTTCAAAATTGTACTTGACTTTTTCAGGTACACTTATAAGTCATTCCTGGCAGCTTTAAACCAATTTAATGGGTTTGTGTTTATCTGCTTCAGGTGTAAAACTCCATTTAAATCAGGGGCGGGCAAAATATGGCCTGCAGGCCAAATGCGACCCGCCAGGCAACTCAGTAAGCCCTGGGCTTGGGCCAAACCAATGGCTCCATGCAGGAGGTGCAGCACTGGTTGCTAAGCAAGCACCCTCACCCCAGCCTGGCCTGACCTGCCCCAGCCTCGAGGCCAGGGGGCGCTAGAGACAAGAAGCTTCTGCCTGGCACAGGCTTTTTCTGGCAACCCTGTGGCTGTTTCCAGCTTCCTTGCCTGTGAGCCTGGAAATGCAGGTAAGGGCCCTACTAGGCTGGGGCCATGGATGCCCGCTGGGGGAAAGGAGCGGGAGCGCAGACAGCTGTGCGCTGTGGGGCTGGGTGGAGCTGGCCCACACTGCCACCACCTGCAACCAGGGACTGGGGTGTGAGCATGGGGAGCTGCGTGCTATGGGGCCAGGTAAGGCTGGCCCTGCTTGCTACCATCACGTGCAGATCCAGGGACTCGCACCCTCCCAGGACCCAGCCCCCACGCACACTTCCACACCCCTATACACACTCCTACACTGTACCATACCCTCTTGGGATTCCAAGGAGCCGCCCCCCCATCCCACCACCATAACCTCACACACCCACAGCCCCCACTTCCTCCACACTGCGCACACACCCCCCAGCCAAACACCCCCATATAAACCCCCTTACTCCCTACACACAGTATGCAAGAGTAAGACTGTATTTTGAGCTGTTATGCAATTGCCTCTCGATACACTATGCAAACACACACAAATCAGGACAAAGATATATTTTAAAATAAAATTAAAATAAGTTATGGTTAGGGGTGTGCTGGTATATCGGTTGACTGTCAGATCGGTACCTATAAAAGGAGAAATTTGTGTTTATTGGTTATTGGCTTTTTTTGGTCGTTGTAGCTGATCATTATGGCTGTGTACGCAGAGCAACCTGGTGAGCATAGTCCGGTCCCTGCTGCTGGCCCGAGCCTATGACAGACTACAGATCCTGGCAAGCAGTGGGAGGGGGAGGGACGCTGGGGAGCAGTCATAGGACACCGTGCTCAGTAATAAAGGGACCATTACCGGCTTCTGCTGCTGCCATGGTAATGTGCAGCAGGGGCCTGAGCGCTGGCACTGCTGCAGAGATGTTGGGCTGCGTGCGGGCAGGGTAAGGCACTGCCTCCACTGGGCACTAGGCACCTTTGCAAAAGCAGCTTCTTGGCGGTTGTGAGAGCTTGGCTGCGCGGAACCCACTGCTGAAGCAGCAGCATGCTCTGGGGCTTCAGACCCACCCAGCACCACTGTCTGCACAAGGATCCACTCCGCCTGTCTGGGATGGCTGCATGAGGAGCAGGGTTGCGAGTAGGAGCCATGGGCGAGGGAGCAACGTGCATGGGAATAAGGTAGTTGTCACCTTCCTCATCAAGGGCCAAAGCAGGCAGGAGGTGTGTGTGTTATAAATGCAAAACAAATGTAAAAAAGGTTTATTTATGTCAGTAGTGTAAAATGCCTTGCACTATTACTAAATACTGGTTATCGAATCAGCATCGGCCAATATGTTTGGTTAATCATTGGCTGTTGGTATCAGCCAGGAAAGTCTTTATCAGTGCACCCCTAGTTATAGTAGATGTTTGATTTTTAGTATAAGATTTGTTTGGGGTTTTTTTTCTTTGTTTCAAGATTGCAGTCCTCTCCAAAAGGAATACCTGTGGCACAAGGGGAGGGACTTCTGGTGGCAAAGGTCAGGGGGTTAGGGGTAGTACTTCTGGTCCCAAGATAATGGCCATGGGGTGGGGCACTTGTTGAGGGGTGGGGCTACCCTTTTGGCCCTTGACAGCTCACCAAAACTCGGTAAGTGGCCCTCAAGCCAGAATAATTGCCTGTTCCTAATTTAAATTGTTTTAACTGCATCTTCCTTGCTTTCTGCCTGATTTAAGACTAATATGACTAACTGCCTCTCCCAATTAACACGTGTCTGCACCCTAAGGGCATGGACATGCACATAACAAACCATTTCAAGAATGTCACTGGATGGGAACTGGTTCACAGTTGCCACAGTTCAGAGGTGTTTGTGCACATGCTACCAGGGGTTCCCCGTAGAAGTCACCTTGCAGGCATTCATTGTTGTCCTGCTTCCACAAGGGGGAAGGAATGAGGCATTTCCTCATAATGTCAAGACACTGCCATTTGATAAATACTAGGGTAGCTGGGAAATCTTCGTTTTTGATGGAGTTAGCCTTTATGAGAACATGTTCTTAGAGTTGTAACCTCATTTTTAGTTTCCTTCCCCACTAACTGTTTTCATATACTTTGTTGTTAATCTTGATTGTAAAGTCTTCAGATTGGGGAATCTCCTTCCCATGGGTTTTACATCCTCTAATACAGCAGTGTCTTGAGGGTGCTGATAAGCATTCTTGTAATATAAACAAAAAAAGTTCTTTCTCTGTTTTCTGATCAATATTAATTTTGCAGTCATTTCTGCAGATTTAAAACCTGTACTGCATTTGATAATTTCCCTTATTCTGCAACACTGACACCCTTGTCAAAAACTTTTCCTTCACTTAATCTCCACAGTTTTTGTCCCATTTTAATGCAAAACACCTTTTCCTTGTGGTGATCACATTTTTTTTTTCTTTCATCTACAGTTTCTTTCTACTTTTTACCTTGTTCCTCTCTAGTCCAGCAAATATTTTCTCATTCCACTACTTTCTCTTGTCAGTTTCCTGATCTGTTTGTTTGAACTGTGTGATGGTTCTAATTAGTAAGATTATCAACCATAATTTTATTTATTTCATATTGTACATAAATATTAGAAACAATATCCTATTTTTATTTTGATCTCAGGATTAACTTTAGAAAGAAAGTGACAAATAAAAACTTGTTATGTAAAGGAGTGTTCTGCTATCAAAAGTATGAAAGCTGTGAATAATTGCTAAATGTGTCTTTTTGGTTTATACGCCAGTTATTATTTTCATTTTAATCATTACTTGATCCATAAGCCCTTTCTCTAGGGTTTATTATATCATATTTGATAAAAAAGCTTGACTAATTGCTATGTGATAAATCCTGTTTTTAATTGCATAATGCTGTACTTTGCACGTTTTATGCAAGGTTTGAGGTGTAAGGTTTTTCTAACTAAAGAATCTGCCAAGATATGTGAAGGTGTTGCATCCTCTTTTCTGTATCTCATCCTATTGCAGGATTCTAATGCAGAATTCCTTAATTTTGCTGCTAAGAACAATTGCCCTTCATCTTTAATATTGGTTTAAGTTAATGGCATTCTCAATAATAAAGCTGATGCAGTAAAACGTGATGAAAAGTGCTGCAGTATAAATCCAAATTGCTACACCAGATGTTATCAGCACTGTGGTCAGTATGCAGTTTGAAAAGCAGTTTCTTTCTGATACAAAGTTTGTATGGATTGACATTCTAAATTATTTGTATGAAATGGCAGTTTGTAGCGGAAAGGATGTAATGTTAGATGCACAGAAGATGTAATGTTAAAATAATAAGACAACCTTCAGCTGCCTTGAGTAAGCACTTCAAAGCACTTTTTGCATTGAAAAAAATCACCCATCATATATAAAAGGGTAACATCTTGAGGGTTTTTTTGCTTGTATAGCAGGACTGCATTACTAGTCCTAATCCAGTGCTAATGGTCAGGTTAAGCATTTTGGAGATCTCTGCATCTAATTTTGCCAGTCCTTTTCAGGTTTGTTTTCTACTGAGAATGCTTTGCAGTACTAGGTCTTAAACATGGTGCTGTCAAATAGTATACTGGGTGCATGGTACAGTTTATAGCAATGACTAGCAAATTGCCCATCAAGAATGATGGTGGGGACGGAGTGCAGGGGGGCAACGCCAGTGCTGTGCTGCCTCCAAGGAGCAGGGTTGAGGGGAGGGATGGGGCGAAGCCAGTGGTGCTTCACCTCACTGGTCTGTCCCCTCCGTCATTCTCCACCCCACCCCACCCCCCCAATGTTGGACCATCTTGTCTGTGTGGAGTACTCTGGTTGTTGTTGTAAGTGTAGCCTGGGTACACCTGGGGGGGTGTCCTGTCCTCTGATGACAGTGGTGGTGGTCAGGCAGGGTGCTGAGGAAGGGGTCAGCTACTAGAGCAGCTTCTTCCCCTCTCTGTAGAGCTAGGCAAAAACCAAATACTTAACTATGTACACTTTATTACAAGAATAAATACAGACACTTAATATAAAACAGAATTTTTACAAGGCTTAACATATAATACTATATATAATATATCACAATTCACATATAATG